TTATATCAAAGTTTGTATAAATAATAACTAACTATAAATAATATGTTATAAAAACTAAGATGATAACTAATAAAGTTATTAAATGTAGTTATATAAATAAAATTTATTATAAGTTATAGTAATGCTTATGTATAAATATATTATATATAATAAATTTATACAATTATATATGTATATTCATAATATTTTATATTATGAAACATTATTAAGGTGTAATACGATATAATAATTATAACATATAAATATGTAGGATATTTACTATCATATATTGTAATATTAATGTATAAGTTATATAATTTAAATATATAACTTGTAATTTCATATTAATATAGGTTTATGAATGAATAAATATATATAGCTAATATAAAATTGCTATGATTATAATTTGTGTATGTACATATAATAAATTAATAAATTTTAAGTATATTATTAATTAAGTTTACTATAATAAAACAATATTATATATACTAATATATATATAATTAGTTTGATTTTTTGAGTGGACTGGTATAAAAATTTTAAAACTGAGAACCAATTAAAAAACCAATTGGACCAAATATTTTAGACCAATTAAACTAATAGATCAATTAAACCAAATCATTTTATTCAAATTACATTTAATTTAAATAGATAATTGATCTAATTTGATTGTGCTCACTCTTAAATTGAGCCATTTATTGCAACATAGGTAGGTAGAGAATAATCTACTTTTTTCCTCAGTGATGAACAAACATATACGAGGAAAGGAAAAGAGAAATAGAAATGAGATTAAAAAAAATAAGTCATTACACTAAAGAACTTACCAATTTTTGCAAAAATAGATAAAATAGTAAATTCATACATTTTCTTTCTAATTTATCTCACTGAATTTTTGGTTGTGCTAACATGTCACAGATTTTTATTCAAAGTAACTTAATTTTTTGTCGGGAACATTTCACTCCCAACATTTTTATTATAATCTTCTAAATATTCAATCCTAATAAAAAATAGTCTATAAAGATGTACCACTTATAAACATAAGTTTCATATAATATTTTTGTAAAGTTTATATAAATCATGATTGTAAATAATTAATAAATAATATAATAATTATAAAAAACATACGCTTTCCTTCCCTTTTGTCATGTGCAAAGTCCTTGGGAAGAATACAGGCATTAGTCAAAAAGAAGGGGATGGTCTTCAGATTTTTCTAAACACATTAGAAATAGAATTTCTTTCAAATATTATATTATATATATATATATATATATATATATTTATAGAACGTACATCAGTTGGGACAGTCTGAAACAGTGAAAAACTAATACTGTTATTACTGCAATAGTTACATAGTCAATACTCCAAACAAATATTTCAAATTGCTAGAAATCCAATAACTTGATATTCAATTAATTCTTATCATTACGCAAAACCCAATTATTGAATCATTTAAACAATTATAAACACAGAAGAAGAAGAAAAAAAATGAAAGGGTAAGGAAAAGGAAACAGAGAAAGAAAGTAAACGCGATGATGTAATTTGATAACCATATTTTCTCTTTCTCAACAATACAAGAAATGAGAAATGTTTCCTTCACTATCAAAACTTACCTAACCACATTGAATAATTGAGGACAATTTTCAACCAAGTATATAAGTCTATCAGTTAATGTTGAGTCTGCTTATCTCAACCGTCTAGCTAGGTAATTAAGTCCTTGTTGATACAACAAGGAAAGTCTTTGCCGGGCCGTTTACTGGATCTGAGGGAAAATATTTTCAGAGTTATTGAAATTGCCAGGGGACCATTTCTGATGTGAATTTGACACCCAAATGGATTTGAAGAATCAAGCCAAATTTTTTTCCTGACACAGTTCAATCACGATCTTCAGTGATAGCCACATCTTCTATATTCAAACAGGTTGCTGTCCTTTTTACTTCAATACCCACTCAACTTTGGCACTGATTATTTTATATATATATATATATATATATATTCAAATTAACCAATTACTTTAAGGTTTAAGATCAAATTTGTCATTTGTAGCATGGATTAAGATTAATGAATTTTAACAGTATTTGAATGTTGTTAAATTTTGTCATTGTTTTTTTTATTTTGTTAATTTTTTTAATATAAAAATTTGTCATTTACATTAATGAAATATTTCATGAAAATTTTCAAATTCATTACTTTTTATTTTAAAATCAACAAAAGTGAAAGCACAATAATAAAATTCAATAAAATTGAATTGATGTAGTAAAATTTAATATTGGATTGTAGTATAGTAATAGATTTTATTTTAATCCCATTATTTTATATAATTAAGACTTAATCAGAAAAGGATTTAAGAAATTGAAATATCTAATCAGAATGCTTGATGACCAGACATGTTGCTTAGGTTAATAATAAAGAAAGTCCCTTTCCAGATAAATGGGGTGTCTCTCTTTGAGCATTTGAGACTTATATATATCTCTTTAGACAAAAAAAAAAAGAAGACATCACTACAAGGCAAGATGATCATCCATTGGTTCTTTGCTTGAATTTTGACAAAAGACAAGAGGGTTTTGGAAATTGTTGCAACTTGCAAGCCTCCAACTCACAATATTTTTAACACTAGTACCTTTTTCTTTTAAATTCAATAAAAAAGAATGATAAGCGCGTTACCTGTCCCTTCCCATAGGTTTTATCCTGTCTCGTGAAATTATAGCATATAAATTTCAACTCTTTTCTTCTCTACGTTGGGCAGGAATTCCTTTTACCTCAAGGGGAAGGAGTGCACTGTTGGGGCAAACCAAATCAAGTTAAACCTAATCCAACCACTTTAATATTAATGTTCCACTTATATTACAAACTCATGTTACCAACCTAACAGATTAATCATCAATCATGTTAAGTAAAAGTAAAAAAAGTATAAATGGAACTTAAGCTCAAAATATGACTACCTTAATCTTTTGATTTTCTGAGAATGAGAATGATCGTTCACACAAATTAATAGTGATGATTAAGGTATTGAACAGTAATTAGTGTAAGAATAGAAAGAAGTCCATGCCTGCCGGGTGGAGATTATTCAACATGAACCCATATTTATTTAAACCCTAACTGGTATAAACTATTGCCATTATCTTAAAAGTTGTAAATGAGCTTAGCTTAAACATAAAACCATTAATCTATGCAAACATATGTGGCATTATAATATTGGATTACTATTGAAAATCAAATGTAAATTAATCTGATTATGCAGCCTCGAAGGTGTTATAGCATAGGCTGGCTAGATGCGCAATCCTTGTCACGTGGCAGAGAAGGGGTCCTACTACTCTTACACCACCTCTTCATCAAATGTTGGTGGATCTAGATTTACTTCAATCTTATCCTATTGACGTGTAAAAACTATATCTATCGAAGTGGGAACCACATGTTCCCACCCACTTGACCAAGTCCTCCGGCTAAATGGCTCCCATTACTTTGGAGCTGACTTCCCATTTCTCCTCTCGGCTTTGCCAAAAAATTTGGCTGGTTCATTTCCATTTCACCTTTTTTGGAATTCTATATATATTGGGTTTCAAATGTGCATTACTTTAAGTCAATTTCTAATTGTAACGACAACAATAATAAGTTTGTTGATGTTGTTGTTGATATTGAGAATGGCCTTCCATCCTTTAAATAAATGAAAGAAATAATCAAATTGTTACTATTAATAATGGAAGGCTCAAATCTGGAGAACAACATAGAGTAGGATTATGACGACAAGCAAATTAATACCTTAATTATATTTGAAGAGCAATCGGATGAATAAAAGAATACAAATAACATTTACTTAATGCAGTGATCATTTCTCATTTATCATTAATATGTACCACATTAATTGTTGATAAAAAATACATAAATTCCTTAGCATTGGAGACCGTGCTACATATATATTACACAATAGTCTTGCATTTGAGGTTAATATCAAAAACATTAAAGTGGCCGGTAATTGTACTCAACATTTCATTACTATTAAGAGTAACACTGGTTTTAGAGTAATCCCGATTTAACCCTGTTTCGTTTGATGGCTCCAGATGAAGCCATATTTAGCCGGAGCCATGCACCCTAAAAAAAGAAAAAAGAAGTTTTAACTTCGACACCTTATCTCTTCTTTCTCTCTCTCAACCATTTCTCTATAAAACCCTAATCCGCCGTTTCTTCTCTGAGAATAAAAATACTCTTTCAGCATATCCCCACCACCTCGCCAATCTTCCTTTTACGTTTCGTTCCTTCCCCTCTCTTAGTAACAGTCGTTTCGGCCGGGTTAGAGAAACAAATTAAAAGACTTATACTAGCAAAGAATCTATATTCATCGAATACTAATAATTTTTTGTTTGTTGTTTACGGCCTATCGAACGGGTGTTACGTTATAGAGAAGAGTTGGTCATCGATCATGGGGTTCCTACACAAACTTTGGGACGAAACGCTGGCCGGGCCCATGCCGGAAACCGGCCTCGGAAAACTACGAAAGTATGATTCGTTTTCATCCACACGATCATCGCCTGCTCCTGTTGTTGATGGTAATAATAAGATGATGATAACTAGGAGCATTACGATTCTTAAGAGTAACTCTGGTTTTAGAAACCTATCGGTGGAGCCGAGTTCAACTCCGGATTCTCCTTCGGGGTCGAGCACTCCTGGGACTCCTTTCTCACGTAAGTTCATTTACATGGTCACTTTTCTTGTTCTCTCTGTTTTATTTTCTTCTTTAACTGTTTTCTAGTATCCTAGGGCTGAGTTCTTAGACTAAAATGGCTTGATGGCAGTATTTATTGGGTGATTTTTCCTTTTTGATATGAGGGAAGAGAAATTCTGCTCTCTGAGTCTTTGAAGTGTTGGTAATTATATGTACTTAAGAACATGTGTTAATGGTTGCAGCGGGGACACCACGTGGGGATTTCAGGAGATTCACGAGGAGGAAATCGTCGGCTGAAGCGCTGGAATCCGATGAGTCTAGAAGTCCGACCGTTTACGACTGGTTCTCTCTCTTTTGTTTGCTATTTATAAACACACATTCTATCTTTGCCTCTCTCTTGATTCACTCCCCTCCCTACAAAAATTGCTCTCAACCCATATTTAGCCCCTGGAATAAATATGGTCATTCAAATCAAAATAACTTGGAACATGGCTTGAAATGAGGTGAAAGTTGACTCAAAATACTTTCCTAGGGAAAAGAAGTCCATGACCCCCATAGTCCCCGAATTAACATAATCAAAGAGACAGCTACCGAAAATCCATGCTTCACTTGAGAGCCTTTCACTGAATTTACAATATCTTACCCTATGACTTAAAGAGAGAGGCAAAGGAAAACTAAGGTTCAAGAAATTAAATGCAAATGCTAAAGTTTTGGAATGTTTATCTGCCATGTTGCTAACCAATTATGTTTTGTCATTTGTGTTGATATGCTGCAGGATTGTGATAAGTGCTTTGGATCGTTGAGAGAGGAATAGGCGATTTTTCTTTTGAAGAATCAGCATCGAAGACGCTTTTGTACATAGAGAAACTTTGATGGATATTTCATTATACATATATCAATAGCCTATATATAGCTAATAAATAAGTTGGTTACAACAAAAAGACGGATTGGGTGATGGTGAACAATCGCAACCGATTGAGAAAATCACTGCTTCTTGGAGTTTCCGAGAGAGGAAAGACGTAGGGGATCAGCTGTTTTGTGCATAATCCTTCTGGCTACCTAGAGATTCTTTTTCCTTCAAGTTTTTGTACATATGATTTTCCTTTTCTTGTTTTTGTTTCTTGGCTTTGTTTTGTGTACATATGGATCCTCTTTCAATGAAACTCGTTTGCAGCTTATTATAACTCTTATCGTAATGGAATTTGCTTTTGCCTGATTTGCTACCGGGAAAGAGGGGGCAAACAAAAACTGACCCAGTCGGTACAGCCACTAATCTCTCTCCACTAGCTCTGAGTTAAATCCAAATGTGGGTCAGATGAGAGATGCTTTATGACTTTGGAAGCTCCCTCATCTGTTTTATTCAGCGTTAGGTAAGCTGTCTCATCATGCATTATATATATATAAGCCCAACAGAGTTGATCCAATTTTACAGGCACTTTCCAACAAAATTTTTTCCATACAAATGGACCAGGAAAACTACCTGGTGTAATTCAAGAAAATTTTGATCTCAAGATATAGCTATATTTGATCAACAAGACCTAAAAAGTTTGTGAAGCTGTGGACAAAGAACAGTCAATGTGGACTAATTAAATTGCTTCTGACTTAATTCACTTTCTCATTGACATTTGCAGTGTTTTGCACGGTTGAGCTATCTTCTGCTCCCGGTCCCTTCACCCATTTGACACGCCAAACTGCCCCTTCCAAATCCATAGTTAATTTCAATATGACCTGATTAATTAATAGATTCGATACTCCCAGTAGTGAAGGTCGAAGTAAGGAACAACAATCGGGGAGAATGATCATCAAAGGAGACTTCTTTGATGTTGGGCCGGCAGGCAGACATCTGCTTAAAATGATAGCAAAATATACAACCTAATTAAGGTAATTTGGACTAGTGATTGTTATCCAAGGTGAAGATTAAGATTCAAAGTTTGAATCCTTTTTTTCTTGTAAGTCATGTATATTCCAAAGAACATATAATAATAATAATAATAATAATAATAATAATAATGATAATAGAAAAACAATTGCGGTCAAGCAAACACAATGGAGCACAAGAAATCTTGTGGTTAACTAGTTCTGAAGCAGATAAGGATATCATAGATAAACTTTCAATTGCTTCTCTGGCTTGGATTTAGGCACTAATATTATTAGAACATACGTATTATATCATATGTAATGTGCAAACTTATAAAGTAATTAATACATTTGGCATCAATGGTTCTTATCTTTGATTTGTTCTCTAGTAAAGATATATAATTTAACAGTTAATATTAACACATGAATAAAATGGAATCAAGATATGATTCTACAATTAAACAAGATGTTTAATTAGTCATATTGACGATGCTTTATAATTTTCGAAATATGACAGAGAGTCCTTAAAATAGAAAACGAAGTTGAGAAAGAAGTTAAGTCTTAAAATTAAAACCTTTTTGATCATGAGATTAAGCATTAATAAGCAAATATATAGTAGACAATAACCTTGAGAAAGAAAACTCAAATAAAAATCATTAAGCTCAGAAGAGATGAATTTCCAGAGCGTGAAGTAAAAACAGAACAAGTGCAAAGTATTTGGAATTAACAAGCTGCCGATTCCTATTTCATCTTTTACATCTATACTAATTCTTGCCTCGAGATTACAATTTCTTCCCCCAAGCTCGACTCTATAACAAGAGAAAAACAGCTGAGCACAATATTCAAAGCATTGAATTTTGTGCCAGCAATGGGTCTTAACAGCTAAAGAAGAAACAAAAGAAATGAACAGATGGCCTTTATTGGCTTAACAAACAGACTCATGAAACGACAGTAAGGTAAGTTGTAAGACTTAAGCAACTAAAAAACATAACAAAAGAAATGACACTACAGGTTGCGTTTCAACATGAAAGGAACAGAAGCAAAACGATGCCGTATAGCACCCTTCAGTCTTCTCCCTCGACGCTGTTAATTCGCGCCTTTATTTGAACCTTCAACTACGGCGGTCACAAACCTCAAGAACAATAGGTAGATTTTTTTTTTTTTACTTTGAATGGCAGAATAATGGGCAGATTACTGGGATCAAAGAATCATAATGATCAATTAATAATTGGGTGATTTAAACAGTGCATGACTAAGTTCTTTGTGTCTTAAGCTTCTAAAGGCTGATTTAGAACTTGCTCCAAATTGGTATCTATTATCCATAAAGCAAATAGCAGAGAAATCCAGTCTTGATTACCTTCTGTGTAGAGGGGATATAGCTCAAACGGTAAGAGTGTTGGCTTTGCAAGCGAGAGGTGCGGGATCCGGTACGCTGCATCTCCAATTCCACTCTTGACTCTTGGATGTTCCCTCGAGACAGTGCAGGGTAAGCGAAACCAAAACTGTGTTCGATCAAATCTTAACATTTCGTATGCTGAAAATGACGTTTATCCTTGTTAGCTAAACTAGAATTCTTGTTTATTAACAAATGAGAATGATCCGTGATTTACAAAGTACTAGTATAACATTTAATTTAATAAAAGCTGATAAGGCTTTGCAGTGTTCCACCGGATTGGCCACTGATATTTTCCACTTTATTAATTAGCCTTTAGGTTCCTCCCACGCTAGCTGCTAATTCTGTCAAATTTAGAAATGTGAGCTCCAGAGCCGAGCTGGTGGTCCAGCAGCTTGCTCTTGGCAGGAAGATGCGATCACAATAAGAAGACCATCATCATTTCATCATGGCATGAGTGCCAAAGGGGTCCCAACTCCAAATTCAAAGATAGTTGTCTGCATCTCTTTGGGAATTCAATAATGGGCTCCCATGGTACTGCGAGGGAATCTGCTTCTTTCAATTAGTTTCAATCAGTAAATTTTTGGGTATATATGCATTGAAATTGTTCAAGCACTTGTTTAACTTTGTGTTATAAATTCAATTCCAATAGGAATTCCCAAAATTGATTATACCGGTATTTACCATTTGGTTAGATAAAGCTATGATTTTATATGTAAATAATAGTATTTAATAACCTTATTATAAGTTCAACTTTGGTGACCTTTTAAACAAAAATGAAAATGTTTAATGTCAGTAGTAGTGGTTTTTTTACCAACTGATAAATCTTGCAATATTATCATTTTCTTTATTTTTCGGCTACAGAGCCGTGCGTGCTTGAGGGAGTTGGAAGTTTATGGACGCAAAGGCGCAACTTAGAGAGTAGCGACCGACAGACCGTGTGATTACCGGCTACACCAAGCACGTCACCCTCAGCTCAGTTGCATACGTTGTCCACCCACGTCAGCATGTTCTGTTTTAAACCTAGATCCCGGACACTTGTCGGTTACCAGCGACACACTGGGTAACGTTTAACCCCCGACGTTCCTCTCCGTTTCCCTCATAATCCAGCTAATGTATGACACGTGTAAAATCTACGTTAGAATCAGGAATCAGGATGGAATCCCGATGAAATCCACAACCTGCACGGATTACCTCAAAGTCATCGGAACTTGCTACACTTTTTGAGTTCAAGGTTTCCCCAATGCCTAAACTACCCCTGCTCTTAAGTACAAATCTTTTTTTGGTAAAAAGTGCTATCAAATTTTGTTCATGATTTGATTACGTGTCGGTAAACATTTACTTGATTGGAAGCACCCAAAAAGAAAAACCCGCATTCAATTGGTTGTACCGTAGGAAGTGGAATTGATTTTTTCTCAAATATATTAATTTTAAATTACAAAAATGCAACATATAATATATAACAATAATTATTTTACGTCCCATGTGACTTAAATGATATTTTAGTTGTTTTTAAAGTGGCACAATAAATATTAAGCAGCTAAAAAAGAGATACAAATAATGAAATGTCTGGATTGTAGTTAAAAGAAAAGCTTAATATGTTTCAATTCCACGCAAACACATGAGAGGTTTCGAGTTGACCAACCAAAGATTTGATACTACCAGTAATTTGGGTACAGAAGGGTAATTTAGGTACAGCACCGGAAAATGATAACGCGGAAGGCGAGAGTACAACCGGTAATTCAACAAAAGACGATGGCGTTTACCGTCAATTCCCCAATTAAATCAGATAAAAACGGGACGGTACAACAACCAAAGCCGGCAACCCTTTCACGCCGGTGAGGGGATCCCCACAATTCCCCAATCAAATCCTTCCACCTCACTCTCGCTCCTCCACGTGTCCCCTCTTCTATGCTCCTTCACCGACGCCGTCACTTCCCCCCACTTTCCCTCCCGTCAACCGATAAAAAAAAACAAAAGAACTAATAAGGCTCCCAAAACCAAAAACAAAAATCCCTAATTCTCTCTCTCGTCGAAACCCTAATTGTCCTTTTCTCTTTTCTTTTTTTTTTCAAATTATCGAATTTTCTGGATCTCGATGGAGGAAGACGAAGAGATCCAATCGCATCCGTCGGCCGGCGCAGCCGGATCTCCATCTCCGTCGTCACCGTCACGGCCGTCCAACGGTCGCATAACCGTAACGGTAGCCGCTGCTCCTCCTTCAGAAGCATCATCTCCACAAGAGCCGCATCAACAGGAAAACGCGCTTGCGCTGGCGCTTCTGCCGCCACAGCAGCAGCCTTCGCAGCCGAAGAACAACGGCGGCGGCGGCGGAGGCGGAAGAGAAGATTGCTGGAGCGAAGGCGCAACTGCGGTTTTAATCGACGCGTGGGGGGAGAGGTATTTGGAGCTGAGTCGTGGGAACTTAAAGCAGAAGCATTGGAAAGAAGTGGCGGATATCGTGAGTGGCAGAGAGGACTATACGAAGACTCCGAAAACAGATATTCAGTGTAAGAATCGAATCGATACGGTTAAGAAGAAGTATAAGTTGGAGAAAGCTAAGATTGCAGGTGGAGGTGGGCCGAGCAAGTGGGTATTTTTCGAAAAATTGGATCAACTTATAGGACCCACGGCGAAGATTGCTGTTCATGCTTCGGCCGCGAGTGGCGGTAGTGGTGGAAGTACTGGGTTGTTGTCTAAGGTACCCATGGGGATTCCGGTTGGAATCCGGTCCAGTTTGAATCCATTTCGAAATTCTCAGCTTCAAGAGAGGCAACAACAACAACAACAACAACAAAAGCAACCTAGGATGGTTGTACAAAAGAATCAGAACAAGATGCAGCTTAGGAAACGGGGTCCGGTAGATAGCGATTCGGAGGAGGAAGAGGAGGAGGAGGAGGAGGAGGAAGCGGATTCGTTGGATAGTTTACCGCC